GCATGTTCTGGGCCCGGCGCGGTGGCGCAAGTGGTTAAAGGTCCTCGCCTTGCACCCCCGGGATCCCATATGGGCGCCGGTTCTAATCCCGGCAGCCCCGCTTCCCTTCCAGCTCCCTGCCTGTGGCCTGGGAAAGCAGTCGAGGACGGCCCAAAGCTTTGGGAACCTGCACCCGCGTGGGAGACCCGGAAGAGGCTCCTGGCTTCGGATCGGCATAGCATCGGCCCGTTGCGCTCACTTGGGGAGTGAATCATCGGACGGAAGATCTTCCTCTCTGTCTCTCCTCTCTGTATATCCGCCTTTCCAATGAAAAAATAATAAAAATAAATCTTTAAAAAAAAAAAAAATAAAATAAAAATGCATGTTCTCCACCTGCAGCCCCAGAGTGTCCATCACAGTAGGGCTCAGGTGGGATTCAGAAGGCTGGTCTAACAAGAACCCTGGTTTACTGATGTCAACATGTCTACTTCGGGAAATGGGGCTGCGAAGTCACACACCAAGCAGGTCTGTCCAGACAATATGGACAAGGGCAGATCTCACAGTCAGAGGACTTTGTATATGGCCTCAATTTGCCTATGTTTTCAACTCATTTTCTCTCTCCCTTTCTCCACCATGGCACCTTAGGTGGCTTCACTGTTCAGTCTCCATGGAGTTGACTCAACAAGTTCTGCATATACAAGGAGTGTTCCAAAAGCACATGAGAAATGCTATGATGACAATCTATGCATAAATTGGGATTTTCTTGGCAGCAAAAGGAAGTTATCTTTTCATTCCATTTTCACATGAACCTTTTGTATGATCCTTGCATTGAGCCTCCTGAACAGGGGGCCCTTATCCTGTCCCCAGTCCCCATTCCTACCCTCCGATTCAGATAAAACTTGGCTATTCCTAGGGCCATGCCTGTGGGGCTAGCCAGTTGTCTGATGAACCACCCACACTGACAGGTTGTGACCACCAGCACTGCCGCTGATAAAGTGTGGCTAGGTAGTTCATATGAACTGGAGGTTATCCCCTGAAATAGAACATTGCTTTTTAAATGGCTGGTTGGATACACCCACCTTCCCCAGACACGCCTATGGCTTCCAGGACCAGGGTGCAGGCTTAGCCCACACTCTAGTTATATAGATGGTTGGACTACCATCATCTGTAACTAAAACATGTGGAATACTGTCAAGAGCTTTCTGCTCATGGTGTACCACTCTCATTTGCTCTTTTTCTGCTGTGGAACGGTTAAGAATGATGCTCTCCAAAATTCACTTGGAGGTACCATTTTCAATTTTTCTTCTTCCGTTGCTTGTAGTACGGTAACACTTTGGTCCACTCCTGATAGGTATTTCTCAGTGTGGGATGGTCCACATTTGTGTATGAATGTGTGCGTACTCCCTGACTCTTAAATAAATTCCCTTGCTATTTCCAAGTGATACTAGTCTCCCCATAGTGTTTCTACCTCTGTGGGAGGCAAGAATCTAGATGGGAAGGTAACATATTCATTACAAACAAGCATTCGTTTCAACAAAGGGCTTTAGAAAGTACAGGATGTTCACCACGAGGGAGAAATCTCAAATACCAGACTCCCAGATGCCCTCAAAGTCCAGTGGGGTGGGAGGGAACATTTTGGTTTGCTTGTCTCAACTCCTGGCGAACCTTGCAAAATGAGACTTGGGTCCTCTGAATGGACAGGATTTCCTTTGTAAACTTATGTAAAGTTGAAGAGGACAAGGCTGACCACAAAAGACATCAAGGGTGCCAAATGATTGAATTTCAGCTCTGCTGGTTGGCGCAATAGGATCAGCTTGGAAAAAATTGGCTGACGTTACCCTAATACACTTGATCCTAATATGATGCTAATCTGAATCATAAAGCCCGCATGAGCGTTTGTAGGGGAAGCATCTCTCTCCAGAGGAGGCTGTTTAATCACAGAGGATCATTATCAGCGTCAGCCACATGCATTTGGAACCCAAGATCATGTGCAATCTTCTTTTAGAGACCATGTCTTCATCCCCACCCCTCCGCCCCCCGCCCGCCAGAGGCACCCATGCTAACCAATCAGCATGGAGGGAGCTGATGAGGAGGGCCAGGATGAACACCCATTTAGCAGAAACAGTTCTGAGTTGGCGATCTGGCCTTACTGTTTACTAACTGTGTGACCTTGGGAAAGTTACATTGATTTTTAGCTTCAGTATATTGTCCATAAAATGAAGGACTATACTGACAGGTAGTGAGCACACAATCACATCTTGTCATTAGTGTTACTCTCCCTCCTGGAAGAATCGAGAAAGCTGAACTAGAGGTTGAAGTACTTGAGCATCTCTTTAGAGCATCTCTTTTGAGGCAGGGAGAAAAATAGTGGGAAAGTTTCTTTTACTTTATTTTAGTCACACAGAATGAATACAATTCAGAATTCATGAGATAGAAACAAAAGTATTTATGTTGAAGTTAGAAATGTTAGAGATGTTTCCATAGGAAATCTCTACCAAAAAGGGAAAACTCTTAAATATTTGTCTCTTTTAATAACTTTTTTATTGTGTAAAATTAAACTCGATATAATAGAGCAAATCATCCAGGGTAACAATGTAAACTTATAAGATTACCAAGTCATACACACATTTTAGATTTAAAATTCAACATTAATTGGTAAGTTTTCCCCAGGAAATACTGTATTCTTATGACCTCTTAAATGCAGAACCGAATTAAAGCATTCACATTCATTAACCATTAAAAGTCATATGTTTCTTACTTTATTTAAAAAAATAATTTATTTCACTTTTCCAATTTCATTGAGGTATCATTACCAAATAATATTGTATGATTTAAGACGTGTATTGTGCTGATTTGAAGTTCTTATCATAATCAAGTCAGAGCATTATTTTGTCTGTGCATGTAGCAAGATGTTTAGGATTCCTCTTAACAGATTTCAAGTATACAATATAATGTTTTTAACTACAGTCATCATGCGGCACCTAGATCTCCAGAAATTACTCATACTAAAACAGAAAGTTTACTCCCTTACCAAAATCTTCTTACTATTCTCAAATCCAGCCCGTGGCAACAACTGTTCTACTCTTGGATAAGTCTGACGTTTTTAGAGTTCACATCTAAGTGAGATCACGGTCTTTGTCTTTGTCTTAGTTCACTAAGGATAATGTCTTCCTGGCTTATGCAAATTGTTGCAGATGACATGATTTCCTCCTTTCCAAAAGCTGAGTCATACTTCATTGTGCTTCTAAATACCATTTTTTTTAAAAAATCTGCTCCTCTATTGAGTGACACTTGGGTTGTTTCCGTGTCTTGGCTGTTATGAAGAGTGTTGGAATGAATGTGAACCTGTGCATAACTTTTCAAGACATACTTTTGTTTCCTTTGGCTATACAATCAAAAGCGGGGTTGCAAGATCATGTAGTGCTTATCTTTCAATTTCGTTTTAGGAGCACTCCTACTGCTTCCTGTAATGGCTGTGCTAATTTGTAATCCCACTAATCAGAACTCTCTTCTCTCCACATTCTCACCGTTTGCTCTTTTTCCTTCTGTTTGATAATAGCTATTCCAATAGACCTTGATTTGCATTTTCTTGATAATCAGTGAATGATATTGAACATTCTAGGTTATTTGTCTTCTATCCAGGTCCCTTATCCATTTTTAAATTGGTTTATTAGTGCTTTTGTTACTGAGTGATGTGAGTTCTTGGTTATCTTGAATGCTAACTCCTTATTGGTTACATCATTCACAGGTGTGTTTTCCCACTCCATAGACAACGCTTTTGCTTCTGTCATAGATTCCCTTATTGTATGGCAAACTGTTTGGTTATTTTTGCATTTTTGCATTTTGCTTTTGTTGTCCATAATTTTAGTGTTATACTCAAGAAATGATCATTAAGATCAATGAAGAGATTTTATCCTGTCTCTTCTCCAAATACTTAAGAGTTTCAGTTCCTAAGTTTTTTTTGTTTTGTTTTGTTTTTGCTTTTAAGATTTATTTATTTTTATTGGAAAGGCAGATATACAGAGAGGAGGAGGAGAGACAGAGAGGAAGATCTTCCGTCTGATAATTCATTCCTCAAGCGGCCGCAATGGCTGGAGCTGAGCCAGTCCGAAGCCAGGAGCACTTCTGGGTCTCCTACTTGATTGAGTGCAGGGTCCCAAAGCTTTGGGCTATCCTCGACAGCTTTCCCAGGCCACAAGCAGGGAGCTGGATGGGAAGCGGGGCTGCTGGTATTAGAACCAGTGACTATATATGCTCCTGGTGTGTTCAAGGCGAGGACTTCAGCCACTACGCTATCACGCCGGGCCCAGTTCCTAAGTCTTTAACACATTTCAAATTAATTTTCTATGTCTGAGCTCCAATGTTAACACTTCTCATAAATAAAGACATAGGATATCTTTGCATTCATTTGTGTTTTCAATATCGTTTTTAAAATCAATATTCCATAGCTTTCAGGACATATATACTTCATCGTGGCTAAATTTACTCTTCAGTGTCTTTTATTTTTATGATTTTCTAAATGGAATGCTTAATTTATTTTTCAGATTGCTAAAGTGAAACTGACATTATATCCTGTAATTTGAATCAATTTGTTATCAGTTCTAGCAGGGTTTTGGTGGAATTTTTATGATTTCCTCCAGGTAAGATAATGTCCTCTATTACAGAGATGAGTAAACTTCTTCCATTATTTGATTCCTTCTAATTCTTTTTCTTGCCTTGTTGCTCTGGCTACCACTTTTGGCACTATACTGAAAAGAAGTCATGAAAGTTGACATCATTGTCTTGCTCTTATGAGTAAATCTTTAAGGTTGTGGGTTAGGATAAAAACCGACTGATGTTATCTGTACACATAGCTTTAGTTGTCACATTAATGAATTTTTAATTATTTATTCAAAAGTAGTCATTGAATACTTATTACGTGCCAGACACTGAATAACATGGTCATGTATGATACAGTGATGAAGAAGAGAGACAAAGAGGAGGATTAAGTGCTTCTATACCAGACCTTGCTTTTTTAACATTCAAGTGCAACAAGAATGGGCTCCTCCTTTGCTGGAACTTGCATCTACATGTCCATTTTGGATAAATCTTATGGAAAGCTTTATGAACACTGTCAGGGATACACAGAGTAGGAAAAAGCTCAAACACAGGTCAACAGCTTGAAGTATCAAGTGGTACTCTTCATAGTGTGGTGGGTCCACACAAATGGATGGGAATTTTGTATAAGGAAAAGGGAAGGCAACTGCATAACCAAGATAATTGGTCCCTGCAATCCCTGAAAATGAGTAGAAGCAGTAGGGTCCAAGAAGAGCTGATTCGAAGGCAATTGCAAAATGAAGTGGACATCCCATAATGCTCAGAGTCACAAAGGTGAAGCTAGCTTCCCACTGGAAATAAAACAAAAACAAATGGTGATTTGGGAGATTAGCTATTTCAAAAAAGCTTCTTAGCAATGTGATGAGATTCCAAGGGATTAATCCCTCCTGCTGGGAAAGGCAGCAAAAAGGGGACATAGCATTCCTTTTCAGCCCTGAATTCTCACTGCTAATGTATGGGAGAATGATGTTATCAGCCAACTGATAATGAAATTCACGTCAACATCCATTTATTTATACATCTTCTATCATATATACAGAATCAGTGTGGATTGGCAAAATAAAGATGAATAAATAGAATGCCTACTGTAAGACCTTGCTTCCCTGGATGCATTCCATGGTCTACTAACACCGAATTCCAGTGGGAGCCTTCCAGAAACACACTCTCTTGGGCTCTATCTCGATCTGCTGAATCAGTCTGCATTTGAACTTGATCTCCAGTTGATTTCCACATACACTCAATTCTGAGTACTGCCTTGGCCGTGAGAATGGAACTGATCAACAGATAAGGCAGCCATTCTGTATCACGGTATTGCCTGGCACTAGATTGTAAAACACAAGCTATTATAAATTTTTCATTCTTTTTCAGAGGTAACAGTAGCAGAAAAATTGGAAGGAGACCAGGAAGTGAAAAGCTGAGACTTCAGTGTATATTATTAAAATCACAGGCATCTATAAGCCCATTGATTCAAAATAAAATTCAGAAAACTAACACTGGTGTTGTCTTCCTCAAGTATGGGAATCACCACAATGTGTAGGAAATGTTTAGAGAAAAAAATCAGATACAAATTATTGATTTAAACATGATTGCTTAATGAAATCCATAATAGTAAGGTCTCTATGGGATTGAATATTACTGTAATTGGAAATCATGTTCTTTTTTTTCCATCCTAGTAGCTTCTTGACCTTCACTCCCACTCTGCTACCCTCTTTGTCATCTATATACTTACCAGGGATCTCTGGGTCCATTCTTTGTAAGCCAACAGTAGCAGCACGCCTGCCGTGAGGGCCTGTGAAAAGAAAATGAAAAAATAACATTGGCAATAGAAAGTACTTCCGGAAAGGGCTCAATTAGTCTCAGTTTGACAACTTCATCATGATCTAGAAGAACGGCAAATGGCTAAATGGATTTATGGCTCTGCGCTCTTCTTCATCAGTGGAAGAAGCGGTGATGACAATGAGAACAACAAGCCCTTAGTGTCAGAAAGTCACGATTCATGGCGGTTCATTGTCTGATCCCCCATGCTCCCTTTGCCGTCACAATCATAACCTCTGCCACTGTAAGGCAGCACCACAACACAAGTTTGGCTTTATAACCCTTGCCATATGTTTTATTTTGATTAATTATTTTTTGTAGCTTTCTCACAAATGACTGAAATTGGAATTGGGGTGAACCAGAAGGGAACCTGCTCTGAGATAATGCCTCCCAGGGGCAGCATTACTTTTTCTATTGGTTTTCTTTTGAGATTCTGTAACCTCCCTCCGCTGGTGTGGTAGAAGCACAGATCCTGTTTCTCGAGTTGTAAAGATTGCCTCTAAACTCAACACCTGTTGTGACATTTATTGTTCTGGGTGCAGTGATGTTCAGCCTTTCAAAACACAGTTTCTGCTTAAATAGGCTACAATTGTGGATAAAAGATCCGACCTGCAGGGTGAGAGTAGTGAAAGAATGAAATGGTGTCGCCAGGATGAGCAACAGACAATTCAAAATCAAGTCTGTGGGCTCAGCTTTGATTCAACACTAAGTCTGAGGAACCAAGATATCTGTGGTGGTTGAGACTGAAATCGCTTATTCTCAATGCATCGAAATTGTTTGTTCTTGGTTAAAGAATATTTTGAGCTTGGGAGAGAACACCAGAAAGAGATGAGCTTAAAATAAGATATCGGATGTGGACAAGTGTAAAAATAGTACAATCCTGGTTTTTCACAAAGGAATAAAAAGGGCTGTATGTATAATACAGAAAAAATAGCATTTCTACCAATATGGCATTGTGGTACGTGGCTTTTGTAGCTCCGCGCCTGGCGTATTTGTTGTTTAGAGACTGAGCTCTTTATTTTCCTGGCATATGTGATTGTAAGATGCTGGATCTGGATAATTTGAGAGAGGGAGGGGGATACACACAGTCACACACAAAAGCTCAAACAAAACTTCTCGTGTAGCTGAGCTGAAAATTCCAGACTTGGCATGGCCATACCATAAAACTCCCATGGACAAAAACAGAGCCATCTGTAATCCAAAGAGGTTTGATCCTGGCTTGATTGTACAAGGGAAAATTTCCAAGGAACCCCATGAAGGTTGAGCCAGCATAAATAGTGCAACCTAACAGAAGAGTGGTTAAGAGCATCTGTCACCACTGTTGTGGGGGCATGCAGCACTGTGTTCTGCTACAGGAACACATCCCTCCCCTGCCATCCATCAGAGAGGGAAAGGTGGAAGCAAGATAAAACGGCAAGCGAAGGGGTTGCCCTGATGCCTCTGGAGGGTTTACCTGCAGACAGATGAGGACACTATCAGAGGCTTAGAGTCCAGGTTGCCTTATTTACCTTGGCCTGAGCTGTTTCTTTCTTTTGAAAGGTTGAAAAAAGAAAGAAAGAGAGAAAAACAACCGTGCAAAATGGCAGTTGCCTGCTATTTCTGTTGTAGCTGCCAGCTTGAATTTTACATCGTTCACACAAAGCTTTAAAACAGGTCTTTCATGGAATAGGCTGAGTGTGAATGCAGTTTAGTAACGTGTTTAGCCTTCTCCATGGATGTGATGGTTATGATGGTGGCTGGAGGGCTAAGCACTCCCATCTTTACTGCTGTCCCCAACCAGACGGGAGGTGGGATAGGAGGGGCAGTACGCCTGGTATTTCCTCTCCCATGAAAGCCACAGCATTTATCTCTTCTTCCCTCTGTTGTGGTTTTTAAACCTTTATTTGTTTCTTTAAAAAGCTGAATAATCCTTCCCCTGGAGCGTGCAGGCATCCCATATGGACACCAGTTCATGTCCTGGCTGCTCCACTGCTCATCCAGTTCGCAGCTTATAGACTGGGAAGGCAGGGAAAGCAGTACAATTGGTCAAGTCCTTGGGCCCCTGCATCCACAGCAGGGGAGACCAGGAAGAAGTTGCTTACTTCCAACTTGGATCAGCTCATTTTTGGCCATCAGGGTTGTCTGGGGAGTGAAACAGCATATAAATAATCTCTCTCTCCTCCTCTCCATAACTCAACTTATCAAATAAAAGAAAACATTTTTTAAAAAGATTGATCTATTGATATGTTTATTTGAAAGGCAGAGTTACCGAGAGAGGGGGAGAGAAGCAGATTTTCCATTTGTTGTTATGGTCTCCATAAGGCCTAAAGGATAAGATTAGGCCAAACAGAAGCCCAAATCCTGGAACTCCAGCTGAATCTCCTATGTGGGTGGCAGGGCCCCAGGTATTTGGGCCATCTTCTGCTGCCTTTCCAGGTACACAAGCAGGGAGGTAGATCAGAGGTGAATGGCATCTGGGACTTGAAACAACACTTGGATATGGGATGCTGGCATTATAGGTGATGTTTAACCTATGTTACCATGCTGGCCTTGTGTTTTTAAAAACTTATTTCTGAAATTACAAAAGAAGATACTTGTGGTTAAGGAAGACAAATAAGCAGAAGAAAGAAAGAAAGAAAGAAAGAAAGAAAGAAAGAAAGAAAGAAAGAAAGAAAGAAAGAAAGAAAGAAAGAAAGAAAGAAAAAAGAAAGAAAGAAAGAAAGAAAGAAAGAAAGAAAGAAAGAAAGAAAGAAAGAAAGAAAGAAAGAAAGAAAGAAAGAGAAAACATGAGAGAGGAGATGTCATGAAGGTAAAAAAGTTGTCTGCCAGTCCACCACAGGGCAGCCAGTTTGAGGGCATGGCGAGGGTGGAGGGCATCCCAAGCAATGAGTGCAAAGGAAATGGCCAAGTCTCATACTGCCTGCTCTCTAGGTTCTGAGTCTTGATGACTTTGGCAATTGAGCCGCTCTCCAGGCATGCCAGGGAGCATCACTTGGGTTTTACAATTGCTGTGGATGCTTTGATTGCGGAATAATTTTGAGCCTTCCTTCTAAATGTTTAAATTGCAGTAAGGGATGCAGTTCCCAGAAGCAAATGAATTGGAGGAAGCAGGCAGTAGTTGCAACAGAAATAGAAACTTTTAGAGGCGTCATATCAATTATAGGGTAATTCATGCACATGTAAGCATCTGCTTTGCATCCATAGTAAACCAGGAAGGTGGTAGGAACGATGCAGGTAAAATAACAATAAACTGATAACATTTATTGAATGCTTAATATATGCCAAGGATCTAAGCTACCCATGCATGAATTAACTCATTTAGCTCTTAAAATGACCTCATTATTATGTTCTCCAACTCTTTAGATGCAGCACAGAGGTTAAATGAGATATGCAGGACCATCAAATAATAATGTACAAATGATGGCTCCAAGTCATACTGAAATTTACAATTCGGGTGTGAAAAGTAAATGAACATGTTAGAATGCTCACAAAATTGAGCAAGAAGATAGAAGACTTCTTGTAGGAGGGGAGCTGGAGGATAAGACACCCTACTGAGGGGAAATATATTTGAAGAAAGTATCGGGGGAAATAAGATCTGAAGTGAGTTTGAATGTCAGCTGTGATTTCAATGGAAGGTGACGGAAGGAGGGCAGTGTAAGCCACTGGAATAACCCATGCAGAGGTGCAGATGCAATAGCTCTGCAGGGCACTGGTGGATCAGCCTACATTGGCTGCAGGGCCAATTCTTGGTAGAAAAGGAGAGACAATTGGGACTGAAGCTCTGTAAAGCCATATTGAAGAAGGCCTCAAAATCCATCTAGACTTGGTTTAGGAACAAAAAAAAGAAATAGCCTAAGCTAAAAAACAGCCTAAGATGTTGTTGTTTAATTTGAAAGATAGCTTTATAGAGAGAAAGGGAGAGACAGGGTTCTTCCATCTACTGGTTATACAGCCAAACTGGGCTGGGACAGGCTCCAATCAGAAACTTGGAACTCCATCTGGATTTCCATCTGTGTGGCAGGGGCCCAAGCACCTGAATCACACTCTGCTCCCTTCCTGAGTGTTGACAGGGTGATGGATCAGAAGTGGAGGAGTCGAGATTTTGAATAGACGGCCATCTGTGGTGTGTGCTGCAAACAGCTTACTCACTAGCCTGATCACAAAGTGGTTCAGAGAGGTGAACTCCTGAATGCATGCCAAATTGGAATGGTGCAAGGCGTAGAGATCTCAACAAGACCCTGAGACGGTTTTTTATTATTCTACCCATAGTAAGTAAAGCATTTTGTGTTAAAGCCTAGTTGTAAATATTGTAATATCTATATAAAACAATGATTACCCTTTGTTTTCAGTGATGCGCTAAAGTGTTACTCTATTTTATCCATGGTAGATGCTTCTAGCCACTCAATAGATTGCCTTTTTAAATACGCTAATGGGTAGATTCAGATTTATTTTAGGTATCCAATCTGAACAAAATTGGGAAGTGGTAAGGTGTATGTGTTGGAAGGGTAGTGTATAGTGAGAAGAGGTAGGACCGCATAAAGATATGAAATTACATGGCAACAGATTGGTAGGGAAGGGGGAATGGCCTGGACTGGCTGGTATAGGCCATTAGTGCCCAAACTACTCCAAGGCTCAGCAACATGGTCATCTGCTGAGACCTTATTAGACATGTAGACCCAAAGGCTGTGGCCGGCACTGTGGCACAGTAAGTCACCACTTGTGACACCAGATTGCAAGTTCAACACTTAGTTGTTATGCTTCCAATCCAGCCTCTGGCTTGTGTGCCTGGGAAAACAGAGAATGATGCTCTCTGACTCCTTCCCTGCCTCTAACACTCTATATTTCAAACGAATAATCATTTTTTTAGAAAGGAACCTACATTCCACAGTGATGTAGAAGAGCTAGTGTAAATGAAAGGATCCAATCAAAGTCACTTGAAGGTTTACAATTTAGCTTCCAAGACCGTGACAAGAAAGCCAGAGAAGAAAAGATTTCATATTGGTGACGAGATGATTCATTTGTTTTTAACACAAACTGATGTTAAACAATCATTGACAAAGATCCTTTGCTTGATCAAACATTTGACAGGCTTCTGAACCTTCTCCTAAGCCTGTCTGTAGTTCCTTATATAATCTTGCTATAGCATGATCCCTGCTAAGTCAGGTCAACAAGAATCTTCCGTACCAGCTATCTGCAAGTCCTTGGTATCTGACCAATAACTAATTTCTCAGCTTCCATCCTCCACTCCAGATGTTTTCTGACCACCCTGGCCCCTTCATCAGGACTCCATAGGGTCAGTTTAGCTAGAAGCTCCCTCACAGTGGCTTTTACTCAGCTTCCATCCACTGACACCCACCCTTCCCACTGGTTACAAATTCTCTCTTGTCCAAACTGTGTTTGGAATTGAGCCCAGTTCTCTATTGAGGTCTCTTTCTGGCATTGAAGCAGTCCTCAGTGATACCAGTTTTGATTGCTTTAATGACTTTCTAGGTTTTTTTCCCCTCTTTAATGTCTCCTGGGCGTTGTTGGTCACATGACTCTTGAGGCTGTAAGAGACTTGGTGATCCTGGAGTCAAGCCTCTTGTCTGTCTAGCCGTTGAGGAAACTGAGAGCTGCATGGCCCTTGCCATAACCTTTCTCCCAAGTTCTCAGGTTCTGGATACAGTGTGGCTTCTTCACATTACCAAGGACATTGGACCCACTAGTCTTTAGATTCATTCAGCTTGCATTCGCTGTACATCAGACTGTTCATCAGAGATTTGCCTTACAGGCCATGACGTTCTCCAGGATTAAAACAATTCAGTCCTCAAGATAGCATGATCTTCTTGCTGCATTCCTTCTCATAGCTGACGCCATTAGACAACCTAACTCAGAAATCCTGGGAACACTGTTTGTCACAAAGAGGTAAGAATAGAGGTTGGACAGTCTGAGGACCAATATTTGTGAAGTGCTTGGAAAGCCTTGAATGAAAAACATTGAACAGATACAAACTATTGCATCACATGGAAAAATCTATCTCGTATGGGTCTCAGAAGTACTGTGGAGCCATTTGCAGATGGAAATGTCAATATTATTAAAATCTACAAATTATCTGTTCACCCAAGGAAGACACATTTAGCAGGCAAGCAAAGAAGTGATTGGTGAGGGAAGTCGTGGAATGAAGCAGCGACCCTTTGAAGTTGACCTTGGTTAGACAGAAGTGTGGTTCGGCAGGAAACTCAGTGGGGGGAAAAAAAATCACATTGTTCTCAATAGAGACATTATGGAAAGAGTAAGCATTCGGAACACTTTGCTTCTCATGGGGAGTTTTTCTTGATTTAGTAGAAATATCAGCTTGAACTTTGTCCTATAACCTAGTCAGAGTTCAGCTATGTAGGAAGTTCTGTGTCCCCAGAATGAAGAGCAAGGAATTCATCCACTCATTAAATAATACTTATCTAATGATATTTACTGAATATTTTCTATGTGACTCAGATTCTAAAGCTACTACAAGAGTAAGCAAAATAGGGGGACAATAATTGTTGCGCTTGTATAATACACATCAGGTGGCAGTAGGAAATCAATATAAGTAGTAAATATAAGCATGTTAGGTGGTGTCAAGGGCTAAGAGGAAAAAATAAAGCTGATGTGAAAGACTAGATATACCATTTGAGGACAGGGGCTGAAATTGTAAATAGGATAATGAGGGAAGATGTCAGTACGGAAGTGATATTTGATCAAGAAGTTAAAGGGTTTAGGGGAAAAGTCAAGGTTAGAAGGAGATAGCCATCAGAACAGAGAACAGGTAGAGCAAACCCCCGAGGCAGGAACACATTTCAGCTTTTTTTGAAACCAGCCCAGGATCCAACGTGACAGCCAAGAAATGAGCTAAGGAAAGCATGGTAAGTGAGGTCTAGAGGCAACAGGATAGAAACTCAGCAGGGATTTAGGGACCAGGACAGAGGAGTGAGCCCAATGGCAAAGGATTAAGAACAAAGGGTTTGGACAGAGAGTAGGACACCAATGAAAGGCAAGGCATTAGCTAGCATTTAAGTAGGGCTTTACAACTGGCAGAGCTCTTTATCATACAATCCTTGTTCAGACTCTGCTCACTGAGTCAGATGGTTTCACAGGTGCACTTTCTTTACTTGTAAACCAGCCCACTTGAACAGTAAAGACGGTGAGACACAGCTGCTGGAGGATTGTTTTGGTCACATACGCAGAAACTCAGAAGTCAGGACGTGAACATAGGCTTGCCTTTCCAAATCCCAGATCTCTGATTCCACTTCCCTGTGTTGCTGTTCCTGAAACCAAACAGTTCCCAACTAGCAGACGGTTAGAAATTTCATCATATTATTTCTCTGTGTGATGAAGAGAAAGTAGGAGTAGAACAAACCTATACCCAGTTATATGAAATATTAATCAAAATCAATATTTGTTCAATGCATTAGGAAAGATTTTTCCAGCAGTAGGCAAAGAACTATAAGAAAATGATGTATGGTTAGAATGTAATAGAAGTTTTGACTTTAGCTCAGTATGAAGTCAAAATTTTAAAACAGTAAATGAGACAAAATATTAGAACATACTTTATATGTCAAGGTTAAGACTGACTTTCAGCATAAAGAATAAATGCCAAAAAAAGAAAAACAATACCACCTGATGATTTTTTCATTCAGTCTTCCCTTAGACCCACTCAACTCAGTTTTCTTGTTTTTCTGGTTTTTTACTCATTTAATTAGCTGCTTCGTTTTTACCAAATAATCACGGCAGCCTGGACTGGATCAGGCTGAAGCCAGAAGCCCACGTAAGTGACAGAAAGGCCCCAGCACTTGGGCCATCTTCCACTGCTTATCCAGGCATATTAGCAAGGCGCTGGGGCAGAAGGGGAGCACTTGCAACTTGACCTGGAGCTTGTAATAGATTATGGCTTCCATGTCCCGCTGTACCACAATGCTGGAACATTTAAAAGAACACAGTCCCTTTAAAAATAAGATTTCTTTTGTCTTCCATTGCAACCCAGTAATCTATTAGGTTTATAGAAAGCAATTATTTAACAAGTAGCTAAAAACATATACAAGTTAATCCTCAGCTTGTGGCACCAGTATTTGGTATGGGCATCTGTTTGAGTCCCTGCTGCTCCACTTCTGATCCAGCTCCCGGCTCATGACCTAGAGAAACAGCAGTTGATGGCTCAAGTCCTTGGGACACTGCATTCTTGTAGAAGACCCAGGCTTATGGTTTCAGATCATCACCTTAGATCAGCTCTGGCCATTACAGACATTTAGAGAGTGAACCAGCAAATGGAAAACCTCTCCCTGTTTTTTCCTCTCCCTCTATAAAATCTGCCTTTCAAATAAAGATAAGAAATAAATGTTTATAAAAGCATACTTCTTAGAACCTTGCTTTTAAGTCAGCATTTCAATCACTCAAGGATTTAAGATGTCATCCCACCTAAGGGTGGCTACATTTTAATGAGAAATTCCTTAAGGTCAAAAAACTTCAAAATTGAGTTTTCTAGTCTCTGATAGTGATTGTCAGGTGTGACAGAAAATGAGAAAAGGATTTGTTGGACAGCACTGCCTCTAATGCCTCTGACATCATACCACCTTGGGAACCACTTACTCCCAAGGCCAGATGCGTCTTTGGTCTGGGAACTATGGTGCTGGGTCGGTTGTTTTATCTGTGCAGTTATTCAATGAAGTTACATTGAGTACCAGACACCATATTTGGCACCTGGACACCTTCCTAGCGAATCCTATTGCCCTACTTCTACAACTGTTCCCAGTCCGACCAGGTACATGCCAAGGAAAAGGTGAGAGCGCGAAGATTTGGAGTTTATAATTGTTGGAATCACGCAGACTACCTTTGTCTTTCTAATGAAACCATTCATTTTAGATTATGTTTTTTCTTCCTGATTTTTAAGGTATGTTTTATGATTTATGTCTTTTTTTTTTCTAAAGTCAAAAGTGAAATTTCAACAGACCGGTTCAGAAAGAATTAAAATAGCTTTTCAAGACTTTCTTTTACAGCATTTCATTATACTACTAGAATCTAGGATATACATGCTTATATGACAAAATAATATTAAAGAAAAATCTGCCTTTACATTGTAATGGATAGAAATAAATGTCCTAAGGTAGATTCTGATTTTCTAAAGAATTTTGGTTTCTTTGTGTTGTTGGACAATTTGAAAATAGCTTACTTTTCTATTTTCCCCTTCTTGACCCCCTGTCCCTTATCATGTGAGTATATTTAGTAAAATATTTTCCTACCAGTGTTCCATTCCAGATGGGGCAAGCAATCCGTACACTCCATCCTGTGAACCAAAGCTTGTAAGAAAACACAGGGAAGAACCCAAGAATTCCAGAGAGCACACTGAGACTCCCAAGGGCAACGAGAATCCGGCCAGCAAGCTGGTACAAGTCCTTCATGTTCTTCTATGACTTGAGCCCTTGGTCTCAAAGATGTTTTGTTACCAAAACATGAAGGTATGACAGACTTCAGTAAACACAAGTTCTTAGAGACGGTAGCTATGACACATATGAACTGTGGATCGACTTGCAAACCAGATGCTATTTGTTTCACCAAAGGTGAAATGTAATAAGGACACTCCCGGACATGAATGTGACACAATAAATTTCAGTACCAGTTTATTTTAGTTGGGGAAGAGGAAGAGAGAAGTTGAGAGAGAGGAAAAAGAAAGAGAGAGAGATTGTTTCTTGTTTTGGAGTTGCCACCCAGATTTGCTTCATTCTGCCCTGTCCTGGGGAGTGACCCCTTCCTGGCTTAATCAGATTCAAAGGCTTGCTGACTGAGCTAATTGTTTCTCCACTCAACCTGCCTGGTGCTTGCAGCATAAAGCCAACATCCTTTGTGCACAATGGAGCCACATTCCCAGCATGATTTCCCACCAAAGTAAAAATAAGCATTCAGACCACTTCTCATTGCATTTAATTTAAATTACTTAAAGCAAAAGCAAGACCTTCATCTCTTTCCAAAATTTAAGTCCAGCACAATTCTCTTGAATTTTTGATAAGGATTTTTTATATGAATCATCCGTGAATTGACATTTTGGATTTTGCATAGTTTTCACTAATTATGATTAAATCATTGTTATTGCAGTCTTCAAGTAAGGAGCAAGAAGTCATTGAATGGAATGAACAATGAACAATAATCAATCAATTGCAGAAAATACTGATATGTATTCATTCCTGAATGGTAATGTTTTTGAAATTCTGAGTTTGTTTACATTTATGCATTTGCAACAGTTTATCCTCTAATTTTTTTCACACATTTGAGAAAGTGGTATGTTTTTGTTTTTGCTTGCTATATTTGAATATTTCTTCCAAGTTAACATTTTGAAAACATGGGCCACCTTTTCAAGTTATCGGAATGATTTTTTAATTCAGTGTTCATATTTACTCTTCACGGTAATGAAATGATGAAAACTAATTTTACGAATGGAGAGGTAATGGTTGTTTAGAAGATGGTTCTCAAGTTAGATATAGCCAGAGTCTGAGTTGCTACCAAGCGGTGTCCTATGGCAAGATCAAGTTATTTAAATTTTCTAGGTCTGTTTCTTCATATGGATAACAGAGGTAAGGTTATAGCTTATCTCACCAGGTGCTGGGTTGAGGGGAATCAGTGAGTTGTTACTGGCTCGTGTCAGTGGTTAGCACTGGGCTCAGCATAGCCTAGACATTCAGGAAATCACCTGTTGTGATGTCTGCTCTTTGGAGTTCTTTCAGTCTAGCACAAAGACACACTCATTCGTGCTTCTTTTATTGGCCAGCTTGCAAACATTAGCTTAGACTTTTCCTGCTCATTTTGGCAGAAATTCCAACGGACTCTCCCATGTGCAGTAGTGAGGAGCCTCTCTGTCTTTTGATCTTTCCATCTTCAATAACCACTCTATAGTTGGACCCGGATTTTGAAGCAGCTGTATTCGTAAACCTACAAATTCCAGGAAACCAACTCAAGGCTTTTTGGTAAAAGGTGTTATGTTCTGGGCCCGGCGCGGTGGCGCAAGTGGTTAAAGGTCCTCGCCTTGTACGCCCGGGATCCCATATGGACGCCGGTTCTAATCCCGGCAGCCCCGCTTCCCATCCAGCTCCCTGCCTGTGGCCCGGGAAGACAGTCGAGGACGGCCCAAGGCTTTGGGAACCTGCACCCGCGTGGGAGACCCGGAAGAGGCTCCTGGCTTTGGACCGGCATAGTATCGGCCCGTTGCGCTCACTTGGGGAGTGAATCATCGGATGGAAGATCTTCCTCTCTGTCTCTCCTCTCTGTATATCTGCCTTTCCAATAAAAAAATAATAAAAATAAATCTTTAAAAAAAAAAAGGTGTTATGTTCTGATCTCAACATAGTATACTATATTCTCTAATTTTTTTCAATACCACTGGATACATTCTAAAAGGGCAGGGGGCTTGCAAATCTTAAGCATCGTCTATAGACACAAAACATCCCCAACACCTAGACATGTGTCTGGCACACACGGACACTCTTAGTAAGATGCATTTGTTCAATTAGTGAATGAACTCACTGGGCTTCCTGGCCGTGTTCTGGAGACCCTGTAGAGTTGTGCAGTACAGATCTCTTGGAGTTCATCATTGCCAGTGTGTGTTCACCCGTTTTTTTCCCTTGATTCTGGGGTGAAGGGTCTGGAGTGAAGAAAGGCCTGTTTCTGTTGGTATTTGGTTTGGGCTGTTTTGACTTTTTCCTTTACTTTTTATCTCAAGGTTAAAGCTACATGGTATGTCAATATACTGTGGGTCAGATCACTCTCCCCTGTTTGCATGTTTGGAAAATAAAGGCTGTTGAAACCCTCATGTTAAACAGTACCAAGATGACAAACGAAGAGGATATTTTGTTTTAATTTGGGGGACCCTTTTACGCACTAATAACACATGCAGGCAAACCATGATACTGTCGATGTGACTTGTAAATGTAAATGTATTAGTGATACGAAGAGTTGTTGTCACTTAAGGTCACAAAGACCAGGACCAGGGATAGAGCCAGGGGATGCCCTGCACATTTCCCTTCAAAATCATGCGAGTTTCTTCAAAGCAGAGGTTTGTTTAATGAGAGCAGAGCCTGGCAAAGAACAGAAAGTGGAATTCTACCCCTGCCCTGGGCTGGGCTACAGGGTCAATATGCTCTCACTCTTCATGTCTCAGGATCCTTATAGCCAGCAGGGATATCAGGCACTAGCACTGCCCTTGGGCACCAACTTAAGGGAAGGTGAGTCTGAATGCTCCTTGGAGGGGATGCCAACTGGGCCTTTGCATGAGAGCTTTGCAGACCCAAGCCAGCGGCTCCCAATATCTTACTTCAGAAAAGCATGGTGGAGGCACAGCCAAACTCTTCAATCCAACTTGCCATTAAAACCAACCAAGGGCCCAGCGCTGTGCCCTGGTGGCTAAAGTCCTCACCTTGAAAACACTGAGGTCCCACACGGGCGCCGGTTCTAATCCTGGCAGCCCTGCTTCCCTGGATGCTCCCTGCTTGTGGCCTGGGAAGGCAGTCGAGGATGGCCCAAAGCCTTGGGACCCTGCACCCATGTGGGAGACCTGGAAGAGGATCTGGGCTCCTGGCTTTGGATCAACTCAGCACCTGTTGCAGTCGCTTGGGGACTGATTCATCGGACAGAAGATATTTCTCTTTGTCTCTCCTCCTCTCTGTATATATCTGACTTTGCAATAAAAATAAATAAATTTTTAAAAATCTGATAAGCCTTTGTTAAAAAACAAAAACAAATAAACAAACAAAAAAAACAAGAAAACCAACCAAAGGTCGACATCATGGCGTATTAGGTTATGCCTGTCGTGCCAGCATCCCATATGGGTGCCAGTTTGTGTTACATAGGCTCTACTTTTTTGTTAAAATTTTATCTTATGACACAGTTTCATAGGCTCTGGGATTCCCCCAACCCATCCCCCAACCCTTCCCCCATATTGAATTCCTCCATATTGCTACAGTAGTACAGCTCATAACCAGTCATGATTCCTTCATTGCGCGCATGGACCATGTAGAGTGTCTGGCGTCTTATTGTCCAGATAAATTCAAGAGTTTCATTGGGAAACCATCCCTGATCTGATAGTAGAGTTGGCAGAATATCATCCCCTCCAATGAAAAGCCACTACACAACTTCGACAACAATTTACAACATCATGAAGTTAATTGACATGGTATTGAGTCTCCAATATGTTAGAAAATGCAAGTGCTTAACCACATTCTGTAACTACCTCATTGACATCTCAATTTTAGTTTATACACACAACCGGCTGCTATACACCTTAAACAGTTTTAGGGTACTATTCAGCTGTCTTGTGTCTATTTTCATTTTTATTATTTAGCAGCTTATAGTATTCAAGTGTGGTTTCTACTGAACTATGCAAATTTTAGGATAGTCCAAAAAGGCTTATACCTCAAACAAGCCATATGCTAGCAATTGAGGCGCAGAACAGTTTTAGGAGGGGTGTGCAGAGAAATCTTTAATACCGTAGTGAGGGGTAACTAATTTTTGTGTCCTACCTAGTAAGGTATATGGGAGTTCAAGCTGACTGTTTCTTGTCCAATCTAAGCTTTCCTTATTGGTCTCTGTCTATCTGATCTATTTTTTTGGGGGGGGCAGCTCCAGAGTGACCCTGATGCTCATTGCAAAGTTGGAACTAGGTAAGAACTAGAGAAAGCTCCTCTCTCTAGTCCCAAAGGAAGTTTACTGTACGTCTGTTTCTGAGGACCACTCAGGGCTCCTGGCTGTTATTCAGATTGACATTAGAGCCTATGGGGAGGGATCCAGGCTTTTTCCATGCTGTGTGGGAGATCCAATAGGGACTGGATGACCTCAGAGTTCTTGACCTGGGAGGGTACTCCAATTGCCCGTGGTCTCCTTGGCAGTTGGGATAAACTCCTTAGTGCCCGTACTGATAGTCCTTGGTGAGGATCCAGGAGTCTCTTGGGTTGGGATACAAGCCTCCTCCGGACCTCCTGCTCTGTTCTGGGGTCCCCCCTCCCCCGGCTCTGTCATATGCTCTACTTTTGATCCAGCTCTCTGCTTATGGTCTGGGAAAGCAAGAGAGAATGGCTCAGGACCCTGCACCAATGCACTCACATGGGCGTCCTGGAAGAAGTTCCTGGCTTCTGTCTAGACCAGCTCTGGGTGTTATAGTTATTGGGAGAGTAAACCATTGGAAGGAAGACCTCTCTTTTGGTCTCTCCTGCGCTCTGTGATTTTGCATTTCAAAGAAAACTTTTTAAAAATCTTAGACAGCAAACAGAAAAACACCCAGAATTGACATTTAGATTCAAATACCTCATCACACAAAAATCAACCCATCCATGCACCCATTCATCTATCCACCCACCCATCCCCCCCATCCATTCAATAAAACCTGGACCCCTGAAGAAGTGGGAGAAAGTCAGTGATG